TTACTCCAGATTAGTAACGAGCCAATCAAAGTTTTCGAAGAAATCAGGGCCAATCACATCACAGAATTTTCGAAGAACTTTGGGGGGGCCGCTGTGCGAGTTGTATATTAGATCACATCGCGCAGCACATCTTTTTCGAACAAGTCAAACATGGACATCACCAAGCAAGCATACGATGACGCGAAGAAGGAGTATAAAGAGGTGAAGGCGAAGCTGGAGCGACTGGAGAAACTGAGGAGCGGAGCAACGCCCAACTGGCCTGGCGAGCAGGCAAACTTAGAGAGACAAGAAGAGAGTCTGGAGGAGGAGAAACGGGAGTGGGGAAAGAAAATTCGCGAGCTTACTCAACCAGGTAACGACTTTGTGACTCGGGCGTTGGGGACATAGAGTAGTGTGTACGTAGGGTAGAGTAGACGTAGTAATATGGTATTGCGAGTTTGTTGGGAGAATGATACTAAGTCAGTGTTTACGCAGTTTTATGGGAAAAGGTTACTGTAGCATACGAGTTTCATACATAGAAAGCACAGCTTTCTCATATCACGAATTTGTATTACAAATCTTTGGGGGTTTTTCAATCGATTTCCGTGTTTGTTGCATAATCCGACTTCATACACGTACACCTCTTTGTTAGACACAGAATATGCTGTGGATTTATCACTAACTGGAGTTACTTTTCTAGTTAAAATCAGCTTGGAAGAGGCGCTGTCATCTATCCCACCGCCCGTAACATATTCTCCGAAATGTACTATATCGAAGACCACTACGAAAGTTAATGGTGACCCGCCGACGAGTATACTGCTTTGGGATGACTTTCTCGAGGAAGTGAACCGATTCCGCTTCGATCAACAATCGAGATTCGAGAGACCGAAATTTAATGATAAATTTGTTGTGATCCATGAAGAGGTTCTTCGTAATGCCATGAATGTCAATGTTTGTATGATATTGAATGATCTTATTGGACCCGATTTTGAATATTCGATGCGACGAACTCATGCTCCTGGTATACCAGATTTCACCTGTCACTATCTTGTGGAATCATTGAGCTTGGTGATTGAAGTTAAAAGAAAGCATGTGTTAGAAGATATCAATGGACAGACATTTCCTGAGTTCTACCAGGCGAATGAAAAGGCAAAAATGGTGATCCAACAAGTTTACAATTATATGGGAGCAAATGAGCTTAGATATGGTATTGTAACCACCTACGATAATCACTGGTTTCTACGCCGAGAGCACACAAAGCTTTGGATTTCACAGACTCTTCCGTTACAATCAACATCTCCGCCGGTACTTAAGGCATATGCTTATATAGCTCAACAAGCAAAGGAGAATCCTGAATCCCTTCGATCACAGTCAAAATTATCTTCTACCCAATCAGTAAATCAACAATCAACAACCAGCACATCCACATATCAACAAGCACCCAACGCTTCGGACAAGCTACATAATTTTGCTTTTACAGACTTTAAGTTTATGGATATACTAGGTGAAGGCCGAAGTGGTAAAACGCTCTTATGTGAATTTCGCGGTGAAAAAATTGCTTTAAAGACTGTCGACTTAGCAAAAGCGCCATCGTATGTTCTGGAAGAAATGCAAAAAGAAATAGAGATCTATGAAAGTCTTGCTGATATCCAGGGACAATATATTCCGAAATTGGTTTGCCATGGGTATTTTGGAGGAGGGATGTGCTTCATTATTGGATTGACCATTGTTGGTACCCCATTGGATGAACATAAAATAACGAAGCAACAAAGGTCAAGAGCCCTTAAGGCATTAGAAGCCATCCACAAACACGGAATTCTCCACAATGATGTTCGGGAGGAAAATATTTTGGTTCATGACAGTGGGGACATCTACTTGATAGATTTTGGGATGGCAAGTTGGGCAGACACAAAAAAGAAGCGAAAGCTTTTTGAGGAAGAACAGTTGAAATTATCTCATTTACTAGACAAATATACAGTCATGCCTTTCCACAATCACCCTGTCAGTTCCCAGGAATCTGATGACTGTACAGAGGATGTGACTACAAAAACTGTCTTATGTAACTGATTATGCAAGTATTATCATGATTTGCAATTGATTACAAAATGCTTCTATATTGGTTGAAATACTGGAATGCAGTAACAAAGAAAGAGGGAGATAATCCTATTCCTGGTCATTTTTTGTAGGATTAATGTAGTCATACAATTTGAGTTAATTATTGCTAGAATAAAAAGTCATTTATTGAATTTCATTGCAATCCTTGTGTATTTTGAATGGGGCAATAAATGGAATCACATTGCTGTGCAACATTTGTAATTTAATGTGTTTTATTTTCGTGTTTGGAATTCGTTGTTGGCTTAGACTATTACTTAAGATCGTAAATTTAGGTTTCAATTAAACCCGGACTGAACGATTGACAAAAAACCACTCGATATCGAAATTGATGCCTTTTGTTTGAACACACGTTCAGATTGCTATTATGAAAACTGATAAAATTTATATATAGGATTACCCGTATATGAAAAATAGCGAATATAGTGGTTCAACCGAATACGAAAAAGCAATCCGTTTTTTGAAGACAGGTTGCGATTGTGGTTGCTGAAAAAAGATCCCGAGAGAAAAATTTGCTGAATTACGTGAAGCGTTTCAAGCTCTCTCTAGGTCCGAACAAGATATATTTTTAATGGCCCAGCTGAAAGCGATGAATGGTGGGGAGATAACTGCCAGTCGACGTCTTAAAAAGAAAACGCGTACTAATAAGCGAACGTTTTATTATTGAGATCGCAATACGCCGCTTTGTCAAAAAACGTATCTTAATATGTTAGGAATTGGTCGCACTCACTTCGAAAACGTCAGAAATCACTTAGAGACGAATGGTATAATACTACGTGTTCATGGTAACATAAAACGAATACCGCGATGGAAAACCAAAATAACCATTGATATAACTGTTGCTACCGCCGTGAAGAATTTTCTCGAGAATTACGCCGAAATTCATGGATTACCAAGTCCCGGTAGAAATGTCAATCGCATTACTCAATCACTTACACTCTTGCCAGCCGAAACGAGTTATAAATCAGTCTATCGTGATTTTATTGCAGGTCTTGAAAACGATAGCACATTGAATTTATTAAAATATGACGCATTCCGCAAGTTATGGCATCAATTAACGCCTTATATTCAAATCATGAGTCCAAGAACGGATTTATGTGACACGTGCCAACATTTTCGGAACGGCTT